GACCAAGAAAGAATCTAGATATCAAAGAAAAGAGAACTGCTCAGACATATTAGAACAAGAGGGCAATGTGATGATTTCCAAGAGTCATGGAGAAACTTATATGAAGTGATGAAAACTGCAATGAGCAAAACCAGGATAATTTATATAATAACCACCATACTGGAAAAACAACTTGGGAAGCTACAAGAACTCTGATCAACACTGATCATCCTTGATTCCAGAAGAACAATAATGTAACATACTATTCACCTTCTTACAAAGAAGAGAGGGACTTGCATGCAGAAAGAGACATTTGTTTTGGACACAACCAATGAAGGAATTTGTTTTGCTTGATTATTCATATTTGTTACAAGGATTTTGTTTTTCTTCACCCCCCCCCCCACACCATGGCGTGAGAGATAGGAAGAACAGGAAACAAATTCTTATAATTTTTTTTTAAAGCAATTTGAATTTTTTTTAAAGGAAAAAAAAACAACAAATGGATGAAGAATGCCTTTGGTCTCGACCAGAACTGTTAAACACATCTCCAGCAATACTTACCAGTCAAATCAGATTAAAATGTAATTGAGAAATAGTTAACAAAATAAATAAAATTACAATTAAACATGTCAATATGTAGTTTTCTGAGTCAACACGTGCCAGCAATGATCCTTAGGTACCTTCTTTTCTATTTGAGTTTGACATCACTGATCCAGAAGTGTCAAACATCCCTGCCAATGAGCTACTAAATTCTTAAGGGAGGTTGGGGAACCAAATTAAAACATAATTGAGAGGGACTGTTAGGTGGTGCAGTGGAGAGAGCACCGGGCCTGAAGTCAGGAAGACCTGAGTTCAAATTTGGCCTCAGATCTTTACTAGCTATATGACCTTGGGCAAATCACTTAACCCTGATTTTATCCCCCCTCCCCCATTCCCCTTTCTGCTGTGCTTCTAAGGAATGGCAAGATAATAAAGGAGAGTAAATTGTGAATTGAAGAATTGGCAGAGTTTAAGGTTCGGTAGCTCTAAATTTTCTGTAAGCCAGAACTGCATTACAATTGCCTAATGAAAGAACCAAGAAGACCAAAATGGAATTATAACACAAACAAAAAATGGAAGTTAACTTGAAAATGGAACTTTCTAAGGAGAATGGTCACAAGGTCAAGCCAATTTTGCAATTGCATAGAAAAAGTTAAAAGCTCCACTAGGGGAGCCTCCTGGCACTAGTGGAAAGAGGACCTGGCCAGGAGCTCACCTTCAGTCTCAGTCTACCAGTGGTGCACGATAAATTCATGTTTGTGCTTCAGTTTCCTCAGGTGTTATTCAAAGCTTCTAGTAAGGTTTGGGGTTGCAAGGCAGCTTGATGTAGGGGAAAGAACGCTGGATCAGGAAAATTGAGACCAGTATTCTAGTCCTATCTCTGTCATTAACAAAGAACATGACCCTTCTTCATCTCTCTGGACCTCAGTTTCCTGACCTGTACAACGAGAGGGTTGAACTCAATTACCTCTAAGGTACACTGCAACTCTAAGCCCTATAAATTCATATATGTCTGTGAACTCATCTGTCAGTCAATAAATTTTTATTAAGTGCCTATTATGTGCCAGGCACCATGCTATCCTCAGCATAAGCTCTCAGACTAGGATGCCAGCCTCTCTGTGCCTGCCCAACCTTCAGTGATTTTTGTCCATGTTCTCAAATAAGTTCAACAAATGGGCACACCCAATATATTAGGGGCCTTCTTTTAATTATCCTGACATCCCAAAGGTATCAGTGGAGCATACAGCCAACTGGTTATGCCTCCTTTGTGACAAATGATTAGGCCATCTTCTTGTTTGGGTAATATATTTCTTTGTACTGTACTTTATACCACTTCTCCTTTGTAATTCTTTATTTGAAATGTGTTACAATCTATCCATGCCCCATCAATCACTTCTTAATTGCCCTTTGGATGATCCTCAACTTCAGTTTCTATTGCAGTCCCAATTGGTTAATTCTCTAATTGTCCTGTACCACAAAGCTATAAATTAGCCTTTACCCAGTCACCTTTGCTTCTGGTCAACAATACTTCCCAACTTCTTAATCAGTATACTTCAGAAATCTTGGTTCTGAACCATTTGTTACTACAGGCCCAGGTCTGTTTTGGAAAATAGCATATTTGTACAAGGAGACTTGTTATTGATTTATTAAAGTTAGGAGACTACACTTACCTACATGTATGGTCCTCTGGTTTTTTTTGAATTTTCCCTTTTCAGTAGTTGAACTCAAAGCTGTTTACATTTAAATTGATAAGAAGTATCACAGACTGTTTTGATGTGTGACATCAGGTTTTTATAAATGACCATTACTAATATTAGGTTTCTGATCTCTGAGGCTACTCCTGTCTCTTTGTTTCATTGATAAATTGTACTCAATGTTGGGATTGTTTTGACAAGTGAGAAGAGAATCCTGAGACTGAGCTTTTCTTTGGATTTACTCTTCTCCACACTCTTGAAAATGGAGAACAAGGACCCTGCAAGGCTGGGACACCCTGAAAGGTGAATTTCAAAGGATGGATCAAAGAGAGAAAGGAGAAAAGTCAGGATCAGAACATCCATTCAGCAAATATTGGAACACAAACCATCATCATCACCGTCATAGCTGGCATTTATATAGCTCTTTAAAGTTTGCAAAGCACTTTACATGTTAAGTGTGTAGTGTGTTGATAATGCTGCACTTACAAATTATCTCATTGAATCCTCATATGTAGTACCATGGAGGGTGAAAAAAGGGAATACAAAGAAAATACGGATGACTTACAGTATTTATAGTTGGACAGAGCTTTAGAGATAATTTTATTCAGCCCTTACTTTTGCAGAAGAGGAAACTGAGGCACTAGACTATAAATATATGTATCTATGTATCTCTATCTATCTATCTATCTATATTTATGGGACCTTAGGGCTTACCAGGACTTTGTTGAATTGAGTTGAATTAAGGACTTGATGACCACTAAGGTTGAAATTAGCTGTAAATCTACATGATTCGTTCAAGGTTATACAAATAGTAAGTATCAAACTGGGGCTTGGATAGATCTTTAGACTCAAAGATTTCTTTATGCTATTTAAAAAAAATCTGTCAAAATAGGTAAGTGCCAAAGTGCATAACTGACAGTAGGCCATAGGCATTTGGAGTTGGATTTGCCATTTCTTTCTCTTCCAGCTCATTTCACAGACGAGGAAACTGGGGCAGACAGGATTAAATGACTTGCCCAAGGTCACACAGCTAGTAAGTGTCTGAGGCCAGATTTGATCTCAGGAAGATGAGTCTTCCTGACTCCAGGCCTGGGGGGCTATCTACTTCGCCACCTGGATGCCCAAGACATCTTTAGCCTCCACCTGTTTTATCTATAAAATGGGAGTCTTAGACTAGATCTCTAAATTCTTCAGCTCTGAATCTTGTAGCCAAAGTCCAACAATCTTTCCATTTACACCATAGCAGCTGAGCAGGAATAGCAGTCTAGAAAAGCCTCAAAGAGGAGACTGAATTTAAAGTAAACTTTGAAGAATTGGTAAGATTCTAATTGGGGGACAGGATCATCAACAAAGGCATGGATTTGGGAATAAGCAGGATATATTTAAGAGACAACAAGAAAGCTGGCCTGATTGACTTGAAGGCTTCTTTGAGTATTATTAGGAAACAAAGTAGGGGCAATGCTAGAATAAGAGGGCCTTGAACCGTACATTGAAAGTTTAGGACTTTATTCTGTACTCACTGGAATTTCCTTGACGCCCCCCTCCCCCAACATCCCTAAGTAGTATCCGATCTAATAAACATTTATAAATCACTTACTATGTGCTAGGCACTGTGCTAAGCACTGAGGATACAAATGATAAAAAGAAAGGCAGTTTCTGCCCTCATGGAGCTTACAATTTAAAGTATGGCACAGTGGAAAAATCACTAGCCCTGGAGTGAAAGGACCTGGATTTAAATGCCACCTTAAATACTGCCTAAGTGACCTTGGTTGAACCATTTAATCTCCCTGTACCTTAGTTTCTTCAATCTGACAAAGAGAGAGAGAGAGAGAGAGAGAGAAGATGACTTCTTAGCTATCTTCAACTATCAACTTACGTGTGAGACAGATAGTAAAATATTAATCTTTGATAGATGAGATAAACTGATTTAATGTTTAAAGCTGGAAGGAAGGAGATTATCAGACTCTTAACTGGGGTAGGACAACAGTACTTTGAACTAGGGTGCAGATAAACACTTGGACTCCTTCAGCAGTTGGAACTGGCGTCAGGGTCTAAAGTTGATTTGAAGCAACGTTGAGTTGGCCCCGGAAGCCAGAATTGCTAGTTATAGCACTGCTGGATAATCATAAAGCCTAAACCCTTATAAGGCCACAAGTCCCCAAATGGCAAGTGTTTCACCTACGTAGTAAATGGCAAAAAGGGGCCTGCCTAAAGTCACATAAATTATTATCTTGCCATTCCTTAGAAGCACATCATAAAGGGAATGGGGTTTTGTGAATTAGAACCCAGGGCCTGTGACTCCAGCTCTCATGCTCCTGCCACCACTATTTACTGACCATGACTTAGAAATCAGATATGAAGGGATTTGCACGGTACTATGTTGATAATGCTGGCACTTAATAACTGTATGTCGACTGCTTTTAGGTTTGCAAACTCGGAAAGCCACCCTAGGCGTACCAGCAGCCCCTGGGAGCGCGCTCCCGAGCTGCTGCTCCTTCTCCCCCTCCCCCGCCTCCTTACGTGATAGAGTCAGAGGGCGTGCGTGCGTGCGTGCGCGTCTCCGGCTGAGTTTGGCGCTGTCGCCACCTCCCTAGCGGCCAGTGGGAGGAGAGATAAGGGGAGGGGAAGGAGGCGGGGGAGGAGGCGGAGAGAAAGGGAGGCGGAGGCGGCAGCGGCGGCGGCCGTGGTTTCTGAGGGACTGGGTGAGGGAAGGAAGAGGAGGAGGGGTGTGTGCGGGCGCCGGAGGAGCCGGGGCACCTAGGCTGGGGCAGGCAGGGGCGAGCGGGCCGAGGCAGAGGGGCGCGGGGCCCACAGCCGAGGCAGCGCCCGACGGTGAGTTACTGAGGGGGGCGTGAGGGGAGGGCCGGGCCGTGTTGGGCGGGAGCCGGGGAGGCCACCGCAGGCCCCGGGGAGAAGGGAAAAGCAAGGTCGGCTGGGCCGGGGGAGGGTGCCGGGGACTAGTAGTGACCGAGGTCAGCGCCGGTCAAGGTCCGGAAGGGAGCCGGGCTCTGTGTGCCCGCCGGACAATGGAGAAGCCAGCCTTTCGTGCTCTCCGTTCCAGGGCGTGCGTGCGTGTGTGTGTGTGTATGTGTGTGTGTGTGTGTGTATGTGTATGTGTGTATATCTCTGTCTCTGCCTGTCTGTCTGTCACCCACCCCGACTGCCGGGACTCCTGGGCTGTTTGGGTCGAGCTGTTTGTGTCCCACCCCCTGGGAGCGAGGTGCGCGTGTGTCACCCACCCCGGTTGACGGGACTCCTGGGATGTCTGAGTGAGTGTGTGTGAGTGTGAGAGAGTGAGTGTGCGCGTGAGTGCCGCTTCCCCGGGCGCTCGCTCGGCCCCAGCCCGAATCGGCGATGTAAACACCGGCCACCCCGCTCCCCTTTGGCCGGCACCTCCCTGCGGGGCTCGGCGGGGGGCTCTCCAACGAACGCGTGTGTTTGTATATACATGTGTATGTGTGGGGGGTAGGGGTGGCATCCGCGGGTCGCGCTTCAGGGACCCCCTGCCCCTGGGCCCTCCCGGAGAAAGCTGTCTTTTCCATCTTTCACGCTTTGAACTGATCGCCACTCGCTGCACCAGCTGTTCTCCACGCTGACTCAGGCACCAAATGGCGACCCGAACCCTGAGAGACTAACTCTTCCCCTCCCCCCTCCCCCCAACACACACACACGAACTTTTTTTGGAGGGGGTCAAGTATATTGTGGCAAGCTCTAGGATTAGGCTTTTCTTTCCTTTGAAGATACTTGGGTGAAGGAGAGAGTTCAGGGTTGTGGGGCATCACTTAACCTGCTCTTCTGCTGGAGGATACAGATGGGTAACTGTGTTTCCACCGGTGGTAGTGAAGGACTCTGGTTCTTTGGTTCAGTCTGATATCGAGAGATTCTTCTGACCCAGAAAAGGGCATGACTTTTCTTTTCTCTACTTTTATTTTTTGCTTTCCCCAAGTTGCTTCCTGCACCAGTCTTCTTGTTCACTTTATTACTTTGAGAACTGACTACGTGAGTGGAGTTAAAAGGCATCCATCCTTCTTTGTGTGAATGTATACATATACACATGGAACCAGGGAGTATGACAGCTAGAATATTTTTTCTACCATGGTTCTAGTCCTTATGCCAAATGTCTTTGTAATGAAGCTTTTTATGTGAGCTTTTTACCTAATTAGAATGTGCTATTTTAAAACATTACAAAGTCGATACTTGAGAGAGAATTGATCTCTTTCTTATGTCCATACACCATCCTAGATGTTGAAAATGAAGTTGTTTATGGGCATTTATATTAGGAATATCGCAGGCTGCTATAGTATCTTTATAAATGCATAGATTAGAACCAAAACTTTTTTCAACTTTAGATTTTTCCTCCCCTATTTAAAGATGCAGTCAACTTTCAGAAATACAGGTTAGGAACCTATCTTAAAACGACCACGGATCTTTTCTCACTTTTAATTTTCTAAGATATTAATTAATGACTCAGCACGGTTAATGACACTGCAAAAATAAAAATCAACAAGTTAGTGGATAAGTTGTAAAAAAATTTGGATTTGTAAAAGGAGGATGGTGAATTTTCAACGTTATTTTAGCTGAGTCACTTTAAAGCTTAGTCACTGTTCCTTAATGTTTAGAACAGGAATTTACTTGGTGACCATTGAATGTTTTGTTAGTTTTTTTCCTCCCACAAAGTATTGGTTCTAATCTGGTTACTTGAAGCAGCGAAAAATCTATTCTTTGTGTCAGTTATTCTTTCCACCTAATCCACAGCATTTGGGAATTCTGATTTATTTGGATACTTGAGCATTTTACCTGTAGACTATGATTTTCTTTAGCAATACTTAACTTTGTTCCCTACAAATTGTTGTTATGTATGTAAATACAGCACTGTGACTCTCCTTTTTCCGGAGGTGTTTGTTTTTTGTAATGCTTTTCTTGATTTTTTAGGTTACCTTACTTTAACTCCTCTTAAGCTTCATGCCCATGGTTTGTCCTTTTGGCTTCCTTACCTGCTAGCTTTCTTCAAGGTTCAGCTCTGTTGTCACTTTATAGAGAAAGTCTTCCTGATTTCCTGTTGGGGATCAGAGATCTCCCAGGCCCCCCAATTTACTGTGCATTTATGCATGTTTGTATTGACTCAGAGGTACGTGTTAATAAGCTCCTAAGTGCACTGACTTTCTTTGTGTCCCTATACCAATTTCCTATTTCAGTGCTTGCATTTATTTAATTAAATAGGCAGTACTTTACCAATAATAATGGCTAATAGTAATATAAAGTTTTAAAATTTGCAAGGTGTTTGAAGTGTGTAACCTCAGTTGACCCTCTCAGCAGCTTGTGTGATGGGTACTTTTTTTTTTTTTCCCAAACCAGATGAGAGTTTTCATTGACTTGAGGAACTCCTATGTGGAAGCTCTCTCCATCTAACACTTCTAAAAGTCTGGGAGGTATTGTGGGGTTAAGAGCTGCCTGAGGGCAATATGAAGTGGCTTTGGGGGTGAGGTACAGAAAGTTGCCTTTAGGCTATGTGTAAGAATTTTGGACTTCCTGACAAGTCTAACACTACATTACTACTTTGTGTCAACTTCCTCAAAAACAAAACTTATATTTAGCTTGCTATGCATAAAGTATTATGTAGTTTTGAAGTAAGTTTGGAAAAAAATTAGATGAAGTTGTTAGATCATATTATGAACTGGAACTAGATTTTTATTATGAGTTTTAAGCTAAAAGCATACCTACCTGGTGTATATCATAGTATCGTTGATTCTCATTCTGTCAAACTCCATCATCTTTATGGATGAAAAACTGAGGCCCAGAATGGTTAAATGACTGGCCCAAAGTCATATGAGTCAGTAAGTGACAGAACATTGATTAGAATCCACTTACATTCTTATTCCAAATCCTGCAGTTTTCTACTGCCCCAGGCATTTTCATCTTAAGTAACCCAATATAAAAATTTGGACTTTTTATGGAAGGATAAATTAAAAGTTGATTATTTATTTTATAATAGGATTCCTTTAAGTAGTCGGTTTCCTTCCTAGTTTTACATTTAAATTTATATAAATTGTTGTACTTCTCTTTAGAAAACTTTATTGTGAGTTGAAGACTTCTGTTTCATCACTCATTTTGTTCTTTGAATAACACCTCCTGGTATTCAAAACAATTGATATTTTTTAATGACTCTAACTTTTGTTAGTCAGCTGTTTCTATTTTAACATCTGATTAGAAGTTTTCTCCTATTTCATACTGAAAATTGTTTTGAGTCCAGATTTGTGATTTACTTGGCTTAGGGAACTCCCATTAAGGAATGCTTTCTACCAATTAAAATCATCAGTTGACCAATTTATAGTTTGAAAGTTGACTAGAGGCACTAAAGAGAGTGACTTGCCTGAAGTCAAGCCAGTATGTGTTAGAGCAGAGTTTGAAGCCGTGTTGTGACCCTGAGGCTTCAATTATATTCACTACTTTCTGTTGCTTCTCATAGGAAATGATAGTGTGTTAGATTTGGAGTTGGAGGGCCTGGGTTCAAATCCTGATTTTGCCACTTATATCTCTGTGACATTGGGCAAGTTGCTTAACTTCTCAGGGTTTCAGTTTCTTCATTTGTCGAATAAGGAGGTTGGGCTTTTGATGGGCCTCTGAGTTTCATTTCAGCTCCAAATCTGTGATCCTAATGAATCTACAATCATATACTTTACTCCTAGTTGAGGAAATTACAAGTAGTCATAACTTTATTGTTTTGCAGTTATAGAATAACCTACTGATCACCATAATTGATTATGGAAGCTACATGTAAGGAATATATCATAATTATAGGAAGGAAGAGGCTTTTGAATTTCTTTTGCGTAATTAGGTTATTCTGTTGCAATTCACAAAGCCATGATTTGCTGCATCTTAAACTTTTCTACTGATAATATGCTTTTAAATTTTTTATGTTATTTTGAAAATTCTTTGTATAAGTATGTCCAGTTCCATTTGTGACTAAAGTCACATATTTTCAAGCTATCTAGCAGGGGATTAAGATGTAGAATGGGTTCTTAGAATTAAATTCGCTGTTTGTTCAACAACTTCATATCCTGTGTATCATGCCTTAATGTCTTCTGTACATAGAAAGAAAATGACTGTGATCTCAGGGAGTTCGCAAACAGCTGTTCATTATAGGGTTTGAAATTGCAAACTTGCCCATGTTATTGTCATTGGGGTCAGACAAGTTTGCAGACTTATAATCTTATAATCAACCTATCATTGTAGCAATAATATTTTCTTTAATTATTTTTGTCTGTTGAATGCAGAGTTTCAGCTTCTAAATCTGTGATCCTATGAACATTTATTAAGTGCTTCTCCTATTGCCTCCCCATGCGGTGTTGAAGGGAAGATAGAAATAAATGTACCTTATCCTCTAGGAGCTTACAATCTAGAATTTCACTTTTATAAGTAACATAATAACCAAGACAATGAGAAAGCATTATGGATTTGTAGAACAGCTTACAGGAACATTACTGTTGTAGCAAATTCACAAAATTTTAATTTGACATTTATTATAATGGATTTACATTATCTTTTGAGCCATTATTCCATTTATAATTTTTGTAATAAAGGCATTTATCTAAGGTGGAAAATGTATGTGAATACTTGCTGTAGTATAGTAGGGTGCCTGTAGCAAAGATAAAGTTCTCCTCCCACCCCCCCATTTTAACAATAAGTTGGCCTTTATAAGAGTTGATGTCCTTTTAGTGAGGTGTCAGCTCCTATTGGATGCAGTTGGAGGAGTGATTATCCTGCCTTTATTCACTTTTTTCTCTTTCCATATCCTCTCTTTTCCCCAAACACACATATACTTTTTTGTCTTG